AAAAAAAAAAAAAAAAAACTTGCACCAACAGATCAAAAGAAAACTGAAAATAGCCCTAGCCCAATTCATGTTCAACAAAAACAACACAAAACAAAATGTGAAAACATAAATTAAAGCTAATGATATTAGCATAATATAATCATATAATAACTCACTTTCTCCATATGAAGCTGATCAGCATGATTTGAAGCAGAAGGCAGAGGAGCAAAAGCACCCAACACGATGACAAATGTCGAAAAAACAAATATTTTCGCCGTAAATCCACCCATTTTTTCGATTTCTCACAAATTTTCCGACCGCAAGATCGGAAACCCAGATGCCAGATTACACCAAAAAGTGATTTTTCGAGCCAAAAATTGGTGGGACTACTGTACAAACCCCATTTTGTAAGTGGGCTTCTTTATTCTCTTTAATCTTTATCCACACATGAAAAGATGAGTGGAATTTAGACTTTGGACAGTCCCGCGAAATGTGTGAGCGCTACATTTTTTTTTAGCAAGCCACGGTATTTGGAGCTATGTACCGACTATTCGTTGATCGATCCGGGTCGCACACCTAGCAGTGGTAGGTGAGTCTCCCAACAAGAGTTTTATGCCTCCACAAGAACTCGAATTCGAGACATTGCTGAAGTGAGCGCTACATTTTTAATAGTAAAAGTTGGGAGAGTCAATTACATTGTAATGGTCAACATTTATAACCAACACTTTTTTTTTTTCAAAAGAAAGGTTCCTTCAACGACATAGTCCTACTAGCTAGACAATGGGCAATAGAATTGAAATTTCTACTAATATAACAACAAGACTCACAGTCTAAAAGAGACAAAAGTGATAAGATGTCCGCCAACACATGATGCAAAGGATCGTTTGGCGACATATCTAGCAAACCGCAAACAACCGCAAGAGCGTCGGTCTCGGCATATTGTATTGAGAATCCTGCATCAAGCGCAAAGCGGAGGCCGAACCTAAGGGCTAGGGCTTCGGCTGTAACTAATGAGAAAGAGCCCGAAACATAAGTTGCAAAAGCAGCTCAACACACGCCTTCCGAATCGCCTATCCACCCGCCTAAGCCGATTCAATCATTTGGTTGAATTTGTCACAAAGTTTGTATTCTTAAAGAAATGGGTTACGTTTTCAATTGTGCAAAAGTACATGTATCATATCAATATGTATACTATAATATGTACTATCAAGACTAATTGGAGATAATTTCATTTTTATTACACGAAAAAACTAGGATTTTATAGTTTAGTTCATATATCCTCTATCACAAATCTAAGTCTAACTGTTAGTCGCATCGATCTGCATATCTATAATGTGACAATCTAAACTTAACTGTTAGTCGCATCGATCTGCATAACTATAATGTGAAACGTCATGTTTGTGTTAATGTTGTTTTTTAAAATATAAAAAGGAATGCTTATTTGTTTAAAATATATAAATCATAATCACGATTGGCTAACACCAATTGTTTAGTACAGTTTGCGATTTATGTTATAATAATATGTTATCGCATAAGAAGTATGACCGTAGTATGTGAGATTGTAAAATCGCACAAAATAAAAAAAAAAATCGAGAAATGAATAATCGGATTGTACAACAACAAAAAAAAAATTAAATTGAACAGAATTGAGAATTGTACAATTCAACTAAATTTATGAATTTCTCTCCATTTGTCTATACATTCGTTTATGCAAAATCACACCAAATCAAAAAAATGTAACTGTCAAACCATTTTCATTCGTACTCAACCGAATAGATTTACGATTTACGTTGTTATTACGAAATAGCCCAACTACTTTTCAAAGGGAGATACTTTGGGTTTTGGCCCATTGGACTTCTTGTTCAATAGAATCTTGTTTGGGCTCCGCTTACCATAATAAGTTTTGGCCAAACTAGTTTTATGTAATAATAATATTGAAGCATATGTAAGGATTTCAAGTTTCAACTAAAATAGTTGGTATTTAACTTCATTTTTATTTAAAATATATATATATATATATATATATATTTCACATTTTATCTAAACATACATATACAAAATAACACCCCTTAAAACCACAGTTTCTATTGTTATATAAATATAATGTTTCATTTTATGAGAGACATAAGTACCCAAATGATCGTGTTAATAAAATAAAGGAGAATACTACCATCCCGTTATCGGATGGTTCTGTTATATTTTAGGATAGGGCAAGAAGGTTGACCGCCCCGTGGGGTCAATTGCATCTTTGCACATTATCAGATTATGTGTATATCTACAGTTAAAAAGCATAATAGAACCATCCCGTAACGGGATGGTAGTATTCTCCTAAAATAAAATGCATATTTATATAGCATTTAATATCAGCTCGATCGATACAGTGATAATATTCTTTATAACATAACTCGATGAAAATCAAACCTGTCATTCAATTCGCCAAGAAAGTGAAGAAAATCAACTCTGTTTAGTATATTCGTACCACATATAAAAACAACAAATATAATACAATAAAGTACTATATTATTTTTTTTTTCAAACGGCAATTATATTAATAATTTAAAAACTCAAAGGAGTACATTCGAAGTGTCAAATGACACACTGGAACCAGAAGACTAGACCACCCCCCTTGTCACACAAGGGGGTACAAACTCCATGACGGAGGCGAACAAGCACAAAACAAAAGCAGACACAGTTACACTAAAAGCAGACAAAGCTGCACTAAAAGCAGACAAAGCTGCACTAAACGAACAAACAAAAACACAAGAAAAAACAACTCACGCCTAATTAATAAAATAAAGCCCTCCCCGGCCACCGACAAACTACTCATACACTACAACCTCACAAGCCAACAAATCGAAGAAATCTACATAGACGAACCCGTCCTCAGCCTAGAATACCAGTCTAAAAACTCCGCACTCCAAATCGTCTACGGCTATCCAGATCTGAGATTCTCAACCTCGAAAAGGCTTTCAATGCAAAGAGACCGCTTCAATCAACGCCGAGACACAACCCACGCTCCCAACCCCCACACACATCAAAGACCAAACCGAAACCTGCCGTAAAGACCAGCTTTTGAGAAATGGGGCACGCACAGAGTGGGGACGCCGGCAACACAAAAGCGCCGGAGCTTGGCTCCACCCGCATCTGAAATAGCTGACCCTTCCATCAACGACGTCTAAGGCACGCGGAGCACGAAACAAGGAGGCGGGGCGAGTTGCCAACCTCGGCGCCAACTGGCCAGAGGAAGGAGGAGGTAGATGCGGCGGTAGGGAGGCACAAATATGAGTTTTAGGTATACGCAGAAGAGGGGTTTTTTGTTGCGTGGCGTTCATAAAGTACTATATTTACAAGTGAAAATTGTGGAGTAAAAACTAAAAAGAGTAAAAAGTTACTGCAATAAAAGATTGTACTTTACCATTAATTACATTTTTTTTATTTTTTTTTTGGAGCATCATTCCTTTGTCTTTGTTACATATTTGGGATGATAACAGCAACCATTTCAATCATTTGTTTGGAACAAAAAGGAGTATGATGAATTGTGAAGCACTAACAAAGAGACTTTTGCCCTTTTGATCAACAAAACACCACATCACCACACTATAAAGTGTAAGTACTTGAGACTTCATGAGAAATATATAATCAAAAGCAAAGAGTTTGATGGTTATTATTGACAATAAAAAGGAGGCAATCATTTTGACCAACTCTTTTTACTGCAGTGAATCTCATTTGTGAATTTTAATTGAGTGTAATTTTACTGGAAAATTAATTTAATTATGAACATAAGATGATTACAAATAAATAATAATAATCAACTTAATTAACACATCTCTAAGCATGAGAAATTAAGTGCACTCAATCTCATGCTTTTGGATGATAGTACTGACTAATTAATTAATCATTTGTTAATCTTGATTAGGGCCTACGCATGTGCTCAGATTATGAATTACTTAAAAGGTTGTTCACAGTAACTACTAAAAGTACTACTCCCTCCGTTTTAAATTATAAGTCGTTTTGACTTTTTTGATTCATCCATTTTACTATGTATCTAGTACATAGCAAAATAGATGTACCGAAAAAGACAAAGCGACTTATAATTTGAAATTGAGGGAGTACTTCTCAATACTAATTGAACTTGTATTTGACTATTTTCATGCATGAACCTCACCAACCCTAATAAAAAAATAAAATAAAAAATGATTAGGTATGACGACATGCCTCTTGTTTTGAAATAATTTATGTCTTATTAATTAATTTTATTGAATTTGCCCTGTATAATATATTTTTAAGATTTATATAATACTCTTAATCACAAATTTGTTAATTTCCTAGGAGCATATATACATATATAGAACACCAAAAAAAGGGTAAAAAAAAAATTAAAAATATAGTAACAACAATTCAATTAGGAGGTAAAAATTGATTAAAAAATAAAAATGGATAATTCAAAAAGAAAAAAAAAATAATATAACCATTGTAGTTTATATAGGGCTAAGGATGTTAATTAATGAAGTCCATATATGTGACACTTGACATCACTAATATTACTATATTAATTTATTCGTCAACTTAATTAACCAATTGCAACATTATTATTATAATAATAATAACAATAGTCGTACGTCCAAGACGAAGACAGGTCACAGGGTCGGCTGTTGGGCTTTTATTTAATTCTAATTAAATATAACTAATATAATAAAATATATACATAGGGGTTAATCTTACTGTTAATTAGTCTTCGAATTTTGTGCTATGTACAATAATAATAATAACAATAATAATAACATGAATAAGAATGATGAATTAAATTATTTGATGCTAATATTTTATCTATATAATTAGATTATGTTTGGTTAACTTAGTTGATATAATAAAAATAAAAGTGTTTAGAAAAATTAATTGATAAGCTGAAATAAAAATTACAATAGTCTGAAAGCTACTTGAGAATGCTTCTAACATAAGCTCAACTTCGTTTTTTTCAAAAAGCTCGTTTTACCAAATCAAACATATTTATATACAACTAACTAAATAAACATAAGTTAACTAATGATGCTTATAATTAATATCAATAGACTTTAGGAAGAAAAGGAAGAGTGAAAATAAAAAAAATGTATAATCCACATTGAGATGACCTCCCAAGTTATTCATGAAAGGAAAATTTCATATCCTACTATATATTTTGTTAGGTGGATATATTTTTCAATAATTATACATATAGAGAATAAAAAATATCATATTTGAAAAATAAATAAAACATAATATTTAATCATATGAATGTATATTTTTATGCATA